TTGTGAGATGCTCACTGATGGCGCTGTCTATCTTGCGATGCCCCTAGCATTCTACCTTTTCCGCTCAATTAAAATACAGTAATCCTACACCTTGAATATCCTAACCTTGAATTGGTATCGAAGAAGCTTTCTAGTTGACGAACATGTACATCAGTGCGGACACCGCGAAGGATGCACACATAAAGTTGAAGCTGGGAGCGTGGACAGCTCCGCCGGCCGTTGTAGGCGTAGGAGTAGGCTCCTCATCAGCTGACTCGGCGGTCTGACTAGGAGCAGCAGACCTCGTCATTGAGGTGAGCATCTGGCTGGGAGCTTGAGGGATGGGGAGAGAGCCTGTAGGCTGTTCTGTGTCGATGACGAGACCAGTGCTCTTGGTAGCGAGGTCTTCATCAACGGCAGACAAGGGCTCACCCAAGCTGACCTTTGAGCTGCTCTCGTGGGTGGAAACGCTGGTCTCGAGCAGAACGTTCTTCTGGATCTTGGTAGCAGACTCAGAGTGTGACGTTGTGGTGGCTGGAGGCTGAGTCTCGGGCTCAGACACAGGTTGAGGTTCAGATTGAGGCTGGGATTGAGTCTCTTGTTGGGACCGAGGCTCATCGACATCTCGGCAGAGAACAGCAACGAGGTTTCCCTTTTGACCACGGCTGAGAAGAGATTCGGAGTCGGTAGAAACGTCGCCACATGAGGCTTGGATGAAACCCTGGGCTCGTTGCACTGAGTCCTTGCAAGCAGCACTGCAAGCCTTGCCACCGGTGAAGTCGTTGGGAGTGCAACTCTCAAGAGGGGTGTCGTATGCTGCAACACAGCTTGATGGGAATGACTTGTCGCTGATGGACTCAAAGTCGGCCAGCTTGAGAGATCCTGCTGAAGCGGTGCCAGCCATGAGAAGGAAGGACAGCTGAAGCCATCGTCGTGTAGATTGTCCAGTCATTGTGAATGTTGTGTGTTGCTTATCAACGGTTAAAAGGAATAGTATCTTTAGAAAGTGGTTTTTTCGATAGTGATCGAAAGGTGCTGCTTAAGCTCAATTATAAGACGGGCTGGTTGATTGATGTCTTGGCTCAAGCTCGAAGCATTGATATGGATCTTCCGATCAATAAAACAGGAACCCGGTTGAAACGCGCTAAGATGCTCACAACCAGGCTGAAGGAACCAACAAGCTGACAGGATTCGGTTTCGAACTATAAAAGTGAAGTTGGTTGTCGGTTTTGTTGTTTATGCGTACGCGTTTTAGTGAAACAATCCTTGGGCAGATCGTTTCAAGCTGAAGATGGGTTATTGAAGGATTATTAAGTAGATTGGATGTGGCTATGCGATGCCCTGTCGAGTATTGATTGATTGAATGAATGATTTCTTCTGTAAACACGAGAAGGAATTTGATCGGCGTTTCGTTCCCGGAGTGTTATGGGAAATGAGAGTGTAAAGCAGATAGATGATCGATAGCGTCGAGTGGATGTCTCGAGGCACGCCAGGATGATTAATGGAATGCAAGGAATGCAAAAAGGCGATGGATGCAATAGATAAAAGAAATATGAGACTTGATAAAAAAAGAGTGTCCAAGTATCGAGTATGTCAAGGCGAGGGAGCACAGCTTTCCTCTACCAGACAAGATCGATGTCAGTTTCACAACCGAAATGAGTGATGATGAGATCTTGTTCGCTTCTCCAAAATAGAAAAGATGAAAGACAAGTAAATGAAAAAGGTGGATGAGGATAAAGATGAAGATGCACAAAATCTTTTAAGAAAGCGATGAAGAGGAATAATTATGGGAATGGGGATGGGAATATGGGGAACTTAGCCTCTAGCTTTAGTCTCAAGAGGGAAGAAGAAAGGAAAGAACGGGATAGGAACGGATGATCAGGGATGGCAAGAACTAGAAGGAGCATTATTGTACTGAAAAGGGATATCTAATGCACATCACTAGCTTCACGCGAGGGTAGTTTTGGGGTTGAACCTCGAGAGGGCGCATCACAATTCGGAAGGGCCAAGACTATGGTGATCCATTGGGTGGGTTCCCATAAAGATCATCAGGGGTTAGACAGCATGACTTTTTTTTCCACTCTTGGCTTTGACGTCACGCAATACTAGTATAGACAGAGGGTCATTGTATGTGATACAATACTGTTAGAGTCTCATTCCTGTTGGTTGTGTTTGCTCATGAAACAGACACTGCACAGAGCACAACATGGCCTCGTACTCTGCCAACAACAAATGTTTGCTCTGTTCCTCGTATTCCTCTTCGGTCCGGGTGGCATTAAACCTCAAAAGTCAAAGAAGAAAAAGAAGGGTTCACAGACACCACAGACACGCACACACGTCAGACTACCTAACGTTTCAGACCGTTTGTTTCGGGTTTCATTCTACCACACGCATTGACTTTTCAACAAATCAGAGCCTCGAGATGGGATACGCCAAGTGCACCGAATACAGTACTAACGTCTGTGTGGTGCCTTTGAGTCAGAAATACAGAGAGTCTAAGGATTCTAGAATTTGTCTATTTTATCTCGTTGTTCAACAATAATTTTGTGCCTCTTTATCCTCAACTCTTCAGTGCATGTAAGATGGGATTCTTTGCTATGACTCTGTCATTAAAAGACCCTTGTCCTAATCCCTGTCTTGTCAGTCTTGCAGTAAAATTTGTCCCCAGAAATACCCATCCTTTGGCGGATCGAAAAGTGGAAATGCCGTCTGCCAAAAGAACCAAGACGGACTGAAAGGCCTAACTCCACAGCCAATGGGAGGGTGTCAGAAAGAAGCAACCAGAACACCACCACTAAAGGTGACAGAGTGCCTATTTGTTTCCTACCGTCTTTACTCGCTTCTCAAAGGCCTCAAATTTTCCCGCAGGTGGCAGTCACGGAAGAAATGTGGCTTCACAAACTTCCGACCGGACGCCAAGCTAGAAAAACTCATGGACGAACCAGAACTGATACAATGCACATAACAAAGACTCTAATGCACCGGATGATTCGAGGCTTCAAGCCATCAGTTTTCAACCGTTTGTTTTCTTCCGGAGGCTTTCGTGTTGTTGTTTCGGAAGGCATTCGGTACTCGCGATGATCAACATCAACGATCATCTCTTGTCTAGCCTCTTTGTACACAGATCGTCAGGACTATTTCGCCAAGAGCACGACCCTCTTGTTTGAGGTCGCTCAACTGAGTAATCCATTTGACCCATCAGGCAATGCTACACTGCTAGTCTCCCTTGTCACCTCGCTACCTCGGCAAGTCAAAGGGGAAATTCATCTCGACAAGGAGACGCCTGTCAGAAAAGATAGAAAGTCATCTGACGCAATATGACCCTTTCTTTCCATAGTATCCGTATGTATCGTCATAAGGAGATCGGAGGCTTTACGATTTCCACTGGTTTAGCTCAGCTAAGCCACTTCGACGCGATTTCTAGGGGTCTTTGGCTATCCGATAATACAGTACGAATGTTGCCGGTTACGAGGTGACACCAGCCTTGACATCAACGCCAAACCAATAACTACACAGATATCTGCCCATCATTCAGTCGGCAGTCTCTAGACCCGGCAGAGTCGGGCACCATTAGCATAAGATGATAACGTCGCTCTCATTCATGCCCGGATCTCAACGGCGTCTCCAGGCTTCGCTTACACTCAATACCAACTACTCGGGACGATACAACGCCAGCTCGGCGGGGGGTTCAACTCCCGATGTGACGGTTCAACGTCATTGACGCGTTATATCGCAGGGTTCTCCTTACCTTCGACTATCGCGCTGAGAAATGTTCAGTTAAGATCATCCTGTCGAATTATCACTCTGCCCTCCTGTTATCTCCTCGTCAACTCTATTGACTGGCGATCCGTCAGCTTGGGATTGAGCTGAGGTCTCATTTCAAAACTGAAGATCGTTACTTTAGTTGTGGTCATAGGCCTCAAATATTGGTCTTTGCGCGCTGGCTTCATCATTTGAAGGGAGGCTAATGAGCCACTCGGCTGCCTCAGTGCCGATCTCTGTCTATCATTTGCCTGGTCGACATCTTTGTTCGGTATCTGTTGATGATGGTATTCCATTCGTCCAAGCTATGTAAACAATCCAAATCAATGGTCGACTGCAGGTAGGTCAATGCTGTTACTCAATGCATTGTAGTCACATGTAGCGATAGTATGAACGAGACTCATCGTAGCGAGGGAAGACTACTAGAGTCCTGACCCAGAACACATACCAGATAATGTACTCTGTGAACCGACTTTCATGTCGAAGCATTGCTAGAACTAAAGAGACGGCTCACAACTCCAAACAGTCATTGCAGTCCGATATTGGTAGTCGTCAGCAGAGTCAAGACGGATAGACGTGTAACCCTCTGTGCTGCCAAACATCTGGAACCAGCAAATGAGTATGCTGATCGGCGCGCTCAGCTACAGTACCGGCCGGTTGCAGTTGAGATTGTTTCCGATAGCAGAATGTAGAAATTTGTCGAAGATGTCCATGCTTAACGCCTCTGGCTGAGAGAGGTCGGTCAATTACCGTCATTTGTTGGTAGTGTGCTCAACCACCACGAGTCAATGCTATGACATGATTAATGCGGAAACCTCGGCAAGCACGTAAGTCAATGGCAAAATTTTGTCAGATACACAGCCTAAAACCTTTCAACTACAATCACTGTTTCTCTTGTCAAATTTCTCACAACGTCGCTTTGATGTGAAAGACAACGGATATTTGCCCTGCTATCCTTTTTTTCGAGAAGACCTCTACCCTGGACAAGATTCTGTCTTGTGAGTTGGAAGAAGCTTCAACTCAGAGTCAGCTATATAAGCCTAAACCTGAAAGCATTCCCACAAGAATCGGATCGATAGCTCAGTGGTAGAGCGAGGGATTGCAGATCCCTAGGCCGCGTGTTCGAACCACGCTCGGTCCTAACTTTTGCCATTACCGACCTTGGCGTCGTGTCCTTTTTTCTGCTTCAGCGCCACGCATTTGGTAAGGGATATATATCCAAACTGCATGACTGCTTTCAACAACAACAACCGTCATAAGGATCGATAGCTCAGCGGTAGAGCGTGGGATTGCAGATCCTAAGGTCACGTGTTCGATCCACGTTCGGTCCTTATCTTTTGATCTTTTGCTGTATTTTAGCATCATTACTTTTTGGTCTACGGGTTATTTGACCTCGGGAAATCTGCGATTTATGCTTTGGCATATGTTTTTGCCGAGCTTTTACGAGGACTTCAGTGGCGATGTTGTGATGTCTCACCCCAAGCCCCCGTAGGCAATGTCTAACTCCGACCCTACAGCACCTTGCTTTTTTCTACACGCAGTCATGCACAAGTACGGCATCATCGTGGACAGCAGTCTATGATCCTTATACACTTATAACCTACGCCAGAAATTGCGCCATGTTTCAATTGATCTTCCAAGCATCGCAGAGTTATCATCATAAAAAGCATCATTGTTCTTCATTCTCTGTCAGATCAACAACTAAGCTATGGAGATATCTATTTATGGTGACGGAACTTTCTAAACTATCAAATGCAACATTCTACAAGATGTTAACAATATCACTTGCCACGTCAGAAGTGTTGATACCGAAATGATTCGGAGTAGTCTGCGATAGATATCAGCTCAAGCTATAACGTTCATGGGCCCGGGAACTTATACCTGAAGGTAAAGAATACCATCCTCAGCGATGACCTCGTTATAAGTTCTCTTGATGTGATCCACAACACGAATGTGAATCTCATTCTTGGGCATTATTTCAAGAAGACCCTCTTGAAGCATATCATCATCACCGAACTTTTGATACTTGAGGTGCGAGACCAAGGCGTCAAAGTAAGACAAGTGAGCGTTTCCAAAATTATACTGCCAATCAAGGTTACCACCACCTTTACCCTTCAGCTTTTCGAAATTTGCTTCGAAGTTTGGAACAAGGGAAAGTTCATGCTTGACAATCCTGTTCAGCTTTTCTTGGATTTCTTTGATACGAGGGTCGTAGTCTCTCCTGATGGAAGACCTGACGATGAAGCTCATGGGCTTTGATGAAGAGGCATCATTCAGGGCCTTGGTGAGGTTGTTGCTCTCGGCAGCAACGCTCGCGTTGGTTCCGAAACGGTGTTCGTTGAAGACTATCATAAGTTTGCCCTCAGGTGAGACTCTGACACCGCAGTAGTCGACAGTATTGGTATCGTCATAGTCAAGAGTTAGCACGTGGGCAGAGCAGATCTCGTTGATTTCGCCCTGAACTTCATCTCCGTGCTGCCCAAGAAAGAGCCAGATTTGATCCGAAGCACTCTCGACATATCTTAGGAGGGCAATGAGAGTTAGTAGATTGAATGCAGGATTTGGGAGATCTCCTGAACCAAGACTTGTGCCGATGTTGAAAGTAGATAAATCAGGGAAACGAACCTGAATATAGTATCGCCAAGACACTGTTGAGCCCAAGAATATTCTTCGGCATAAGGATAGAGAGCCCAAGGATCGGCACTTATAGTCCAAGGCTGACCGAGTATATCAGAGAGTCTCTGTTCAAGCTCTCCCTTTTTGTTTTCCCAACCGTCACGGACTGATAGCATGTATGTGTTAGATATGCTCAGAGACAACTACTATCAGAAGACATACTGTTTTTGCGGACAGCAAGGGAAAACTTGACAGCAGGTTGGCGGCGGGACATGGCGTAGCGTATAGGGAATATCAAAATATAGGATCAATAGTTGAACAAGCTTATTTACTGTACCTATGTAAGATTGCTATAAATGATATAGAAGCTCGACGTGGGGATCAATGAGCTTTTATGCCATTTTGGTACCGGAACCTTCAAAGAAACCACATACCAATCTAGACGTCCACAGCAATGGTGTATCGTGAAATTGGACAATATTGTCTCACTTCAATCTATGGCCAATAGTGAGTAGCTGGGACCGATCACATAGCCAGCCACATGTAGCTGAACTAACCTCTTCGAATGTCACCCCTCAATTGAGAACGGTCCAGATCGAGGACCCTGTGAACAGCTTTATCGCTGCGGCTGGTCTACTGGAAGACTCAGAACTGGGATGTTGAGACCTATCACTCTGTACTAGGATGTCTTCTATGTTAAATAGCAAAGCCTTTGGCTCTCATTGACCTTAGATCACTTTCCCGAGCATATGCCGTTGTAGCTAGAATAGTATTGAAATTTGAATACAGTTACGGCTTGGATAAGGAAATTCAAGTAGACTATTCTAGACGATAGATAATAAGACAAGTAAAATAGTGTTTGAACGGCGAATATTATGCTCTTCTAAGTTCACATCTTGATAGAAACCAAGCTCGACTCTGTCGCACATACACACAATTCAGGAACTGACCAAGACTAAGTCTACGCTACAAGAATTTATATGATTTTATTTTCACTGTTTTTACCGTCTTAATATTGGACTCGCTCAACGTGCCTCTGGTTCGAGAGAGCGAATGGCGAGTTCGTGATACTATAAAAGGAATGGATGGCTCGGTCTTTATAAGAGCCATCTTAACCTGGGAATGGCTTTTTCTCTCTGAGTGAATTGACTTCTAAGGATATTAAGAGGATAGAAAGACAAAAAGGAAAATACAAAAAACATACAACACCGAGGATTCGCTGGTCGTCACCGACCCAACTACTAATTCAGCACTTATCAGTTTATCGAACGGAGAGCGGACGGGATCCCGAGTTATCTGATAGCTATGGTCGTATGTGCTTAGCTGAAGGAAAATCAGGACTTATCTAGTCTTAGTCGACTCATAGAACAGCAGGTATTGAACACACCAGCCTCAAGAACTCGTTGACGATGGGTATCAACACCGAGTTCAAGCAACTCGTCTGTAGAAGGCCAGCTACCAATCTTACTGTGACTGGTCATCAAGCTCTAGATACGCCATCCCGTAAATATCAGCTGAAAGCACGAAGAAATGTGAATCAAGAATAGCTTATTACAGTTCTATTCAGTGAAAGCTAATACAAACAATGGAGCTTCTTTTTCATGTTCATTAATGAAAATTCGACCCCGAGAATCATCTAGCGGTCATGGTATAATAATTCTGCCCATAGTTCTAAACCCTTACTGTTGCGCACCTCCCTGCTGGCCACCAGCACCACCGGCACCTCCAGCACCTCCAGCACCGCCGAAGGGGTTGCCTCCGCCGCCACCCATCATCGATCGAGCACTGATATCTGATTAGCTTTTGTAATCTGTAACATTCATAGAGTGTGAAACTTACAGCTCTCCGATAGCAGGGTCTGACATGATGCTGTTAAAGTCGGGCATACCACCGCCGGAGGAGTATTGGTTGGCCATATCACGGAGACGGGGGTTGTTCATCAAGTTGCTCATCATATCGGGGTTGCTCATGAGCTTCTGGGCCATGTTGGCGAACATGGGGTTGCTCATAATGCTACCAAGATCGGGCATGCCGCCAGCACCACCGGCACCACCAGCGCCGCCGCCGCCGAACATGCTGGCAAGGTTGCCGAGATCAGGCATGCCTCCGGCGTTAGCATCGTTGCCAGCGCTGGGAGAAGCACGAGGAAGAGAGTCCTCCTCAGCCTCCATCTCTTGAACACGGCGCTTAGCAGTCTCGTAACCCTTCTTCATGGCATCGGAGCCACCGTTACCCTCGTGCTGGATACCGCGGTCGTAGGCCTCCATAGCACCACGGGCATCACCAAGAGCGAATCGGGCAAGGCCAAGACGAGACCAGGCCTTTGTGTAAGCGGGGTCGATGACAACAGCGGCCTCGGCATCGGTGCGAGCGGAAGCATGGTCCTTGTTGGCGGAGTGAGCGGCAGCGCGGTTGGAAAGGTAGACAGCGTTGCTAGCGTTAATAGCAAGAGCCTGAGTGTAGAAGTTGATGGCGGCAGTGTAATCCTTCTGGGCCATGGCAGCGTTACCCTTAGACTTCAGAGCCTCGGCCTCCTTCTTCTGCTCCTCGGTAAGCTCGACGGGTGCGGGTGCGGGAGCGGCGGCAGGCTTGTCAGCGCGGGCCTTCTCGAAGACGGAGTAGATCTGGAGGAGGTTCTGGGATCCGATGGCAGATTGAATGGCGGAGGTGTCAGAGGGGTCGACCTTGAAGCATTCGGCGATGCAGTTGATGGCGACATCCATGGAGTCCTTGTCGTCAGCGGTAAGGGTACCATCGTTCAATGAAGAGGTGAGAAAATCGCAGATAGCGAGCGCAAGGCGCTGCTTGGAGGTTTGAGTAGACGCCTAGAGCTTAGAGTCAGCAACATATCGATTACAATAGAGTCATGACAAGTATCCAGCGTTTGCCTATGCTGCGGGGGTTTGCGCTTACCATGACGAATAAAGAAGAGGCTGTGGAGAGATAATGAGGAGCAAAAGAGAGATTCAAACTTATAGGCCCAACAACACAAAGTACCAATGGGAACAGACAGAGAAGATGACTCGGTGAGGATGTGAGCCAGGTTAGTCCCAAGATAAAGTGCAAAAAGGCCCCGCGGCTGAGGCGTCGTGGAGTTTGGGCTGGAAGGTTCCACGTGGGGCAAACGTAGGTGGAAAGAAAAACCAGACGATTTGGTCATACAAATTGTGTGCTAGTATCATTCAAGATTTCTGTCTCCCAGCACAGATCTTCCAGCGATGTGGGGGACAATGCGGGCAGCCGCCGGGCAAGTTTGGGGATGCTAAGTCATCAGTATAGGTATCAGCTTCATCTACAACAACATTTTTGGCATGCAGCCGTCAGTGTCAGGATAATCAGTCGCTTGGAGCATAAGAGACGAAATAATCTCGTTATCTTGTGCAGGCTTAGGCTAGCAACTAGGCTGCTTTATTTCTGTAGCATAACTTAGAGAACAATTCCTGGCACCCATTTGGTATGTTTCAGTTAAGCACTTATTCATTGTTTTTGGCAGGTAAGCAATCCGGGGCCATGAGCTAATGCCACGATTCAGTGTAAAGAGACGACTTGTTCAATTCCTGGTACACTTCCCTGTAAGCCCCCGACTCCTAGGACAAAATCCCCAAGTCGCTATGCCAAACCATAACTCCATCCTAATGCAAATATTTATTGTCCATCCTTTCATGATCTTTGCTCTCTCTAGAGCATAGCAAACTCCGCCTCTCCCTTACTTTCG